CATTACTCTAAACATCGAGTTCAGACATATAGGCTGTCTTGAACACTATCATCAGAGTAACGTGATCTAATCAATACATAAAGATTAAACCGATAACACGAAAGCATATGGCTACTTAACATGCAGAATGACGTCATTTTGCATGCTAAGTAGCCATGTGCTTTCTGGGGCTAAATCTTTATCAGTAAACCGATTTAACCGGTAAAAGTTCCTTCAAAATAAGAGTCCCGATCTTATTACTATCAAAATAAAAGTGCAAAACGAAAACTTTACCATAGAAAATATTAGCATACAAATATAATCACTTCTCTAAAAGGTAACTCATTTTAAACATAGTTTATTTATATATAATAATAATAATAATATTAATATTAGTAATAAGCTTTATATTTGTATAGCACCTATTACAAGAATTGTAGCCAAACTGGCTTCACAGCAGTTCAATAGACAGATTAGTATAACACGACAGGGATAAAAGCAATGTAGAGGAGCAGAGCTAACATTTCAACACATATATCACGAAGATTAATACATGAAGACTTGTGACTCGGACTTGACTTGGACTCTTCTTAGGTGACTCGGACTTGGACTCGGACTCGAACACAGGTAATGATGACTCGGACTCGACTCGGACACTCCTTGGGTGACTCGGACTTGGACTCGGACTCGAACACAGGTAATGATGACTCGGACTCGGACTCGACTCGGACATTCCTTGGGTTGACTCGGACTTGGACTCGGACTCGACTACGACTCTCCTTGGTGACTCGGACTCTGGACTCGGATTCGAAGAGTGGTTGACTCGATGAGTGACTTGGACTCGTGAATTGGTGACTTTGAATAAAAGGGTGTGTGTTGTTGTGTGTGTGTGTGGTATTGTATGTGTGTGTGTGTGTGTGGTGTGTGTGTGTGTGTGTGTGTAGGTGTTGTTGTGTGTGTGTGTGTGTGTGTGTGTGTGTGTGTGTGTGTGTGTGTGTGTGTGTGTGTGTGTGTGTGTGTGTGTGTGTGTGTGTGGTGTGTGTGTGTGTGTGTGTGTTGTGTGTGTGTGTGTGTGTGTGTGTGTGTGTGTGTGTGTGTGTGTGTGTGTGTGTGTGTGTGTGTGTGTGTGTGTGTGTGTGTGTGTGTGTGTGTGTGTGTGTGTGTGTGTGTGTGTGCCACAGCATGCCAGTTGAAACAGTGAACGATCGCTATTGTGTATGCTTAGGGTGTAATGGTATTATACACAAATATTGTAGGAGCACAAAAACAGTGTTCAAATTCTGCTTTTACAAACTTATTTTGGTTGTGCTTACCTTGCAAAGTAATGTTATAAGTGTCAAAGGAATGTTTTAATGTAAATATTAATGATAATATTGTAGCGTGTCCAAGTTAATAGTTATTTCAGTTATCAGATGTGCACAGTTTAGTAAATTTGTAAAGTTATTTAGGCAATGTTGTTGGTGGGAGTTAGGGAGACCGCCCCTTCCAGGTGTGTGTGTGTGCGTTTTCCGGTGTGTGTGTAGGGAGTACGAGACGGTAGGAGTTGTGTTCGAGTGTGGGGAAAAGTCATAATGAGTGTTATACTATTGATTGGCTCTGTAAGGCGTGGCTGTGGCCGTCAATACCATAAAATAAAGAGAACGTTTTCGACATTGAAGGCTCGTGATCTGTGATCTTGAATAGCGGTGAACGCTACAATATGAACAGGCTCGTGCTTGGCCCACTGGTATTGTTTGTTTATTTATTTTGAAAATGAACTAGCAACGCCGTTCTGTCATATAGCAACTGCTAAGCTACTGCAGCAAGAAAATCCTGGCGCCGCCCATGCTCGGCAAGCTTATCAAAATGTCTTACACGTGTAAGGTTTGTAAGTTCAGTACAGGGTCCATTCCTGCATGCATTTGGTTGTTTGTATTCAAAGTGTTTTCAAATATTGTGTATCATCTAAGAATAGTGATAATGTATTTGCCAAACAGTGCCTTTTGTTGTCTCGTCAAATGTGTTAGTTATGTTTATGTATTATGTCTGTCATTTCATGTTTAGTCAGGGTTTTAATTTAAAGCAGTTTTATTCTGAAAAAACCGGAAGTTCACACTAACTATTAACATTTCCGGTTAGCATTAGCATGTGGCTAACGTTGTGAAAACCGTGAATTGAAGGTGAAATGACATGATGTTGTACACTAAACACACTGGGATTAACACTCATTTATTGACGCTGAAATAACGTTTATCAGGGAATGTTTAAATAACCACAGACATCAGAATGATATATATATTAATAATGTAAGATATAATATGTTACTTTTGTGACTGGGTAAGTACACATCACGGGAGTCCGGACGTCACGTGCCTCAAAGGTTGAGAAAGGTTGAGCTCCCGCCCACATTGAGCTCATTGAGGCATTGCGCACTGCATTGAGGGGTACTTCGCCATCGTCAGCGTCTGCCCCGCCCCTGATTGTTTCCACCTGTTCCCACTCGCCTCATGTTTAAATAGTCCTGTCTCTCCCCTCTCCTGTGTCAGTTTGTGTTTGTTCCCACGTGTGGTCGTGCCAGGCCTCAGCAAAGAGAGGATCGTTTACAGTCTTGTTAGGTTTTGTTGTTTTGTTAGTTTAAAGGTAGGGTAAGTTTGAGAAACCGGCTCGAGATACACTTTTTGTTATATTCCATGGAATGCTCTTAACATCCCGATAGCAATGAATATCTTAAGTGCTTTGACAAAAAATCCATTAAAAAATGTCATCTGTGGAAGCCGTAATACTGTAAAAAGTACGACCAATCATTTTAGCCGGCCCGGCTAAAATAACTGGATGGCCTACCTGCCTGTCAGCCTTCCATCTGTGCACAAACTTATCTCGTGCCCTCATTGGTCATGTGCGCGTTCGTGTGTTGGAGGAGGGGCTCTATAAGGAAGTGGCAGATTTTCTCCGGTTGTGTATTTTCAAATTCTAGCGATCTCGAGCCGGTTTCTCAAACTTACCTACCCTACCTTTAAGTTTATCTTAAGTTCTCTTTTTGTTATGCTTAGTTTTTTCCTCCTTTTGAGTGTTTTTTTTGTTATTTAGTGGGAATGCTGATACAGCATTCCAACTATATGTTATGCTACGGACGAAAAGTTTATTATTATTCCGTCCAATTATTTTGTCCGTCTTCTCCTCCCACATTCAACATCGCAGAAACTCCGTTCAAACATCAAAACGTTCAGCTCGGTCGGGAATCGGGCGCTATTACTTTTATCATTCATAACTTTCATAATTCCAGAGATACATCCCGTAATACATTACATTTTTAACCATTGAAGTCAATGGAGAAATTCTTCAGACTTCAACAAATCTTCATGCGACTTCAACTGCTAACTGTTCATTCATACTTTCACTCAGAAACCTCATTCCAACTTTAAAATGTTACACATCTTTCTGATATTATTCATGTAACACAACTTTTAAATCTGATTCTTACTTTTAGAGATATTAAACATTGTTCAGACCTTGTTAAAGAGGTTTTCTTCCGATTTTAACATTAACTAGAGTGCGTGATGTCACAGCTAGAGGGTAGGAAATCTTGAAATTTCCCTTCATATTTTTTTTTAAAACTGCCATAATTCCCAAACCCTACATTCCTGAGACATAATTTTTCATGAGAAACGTAGGAAAACATCTCGTAGCTTGAAAAATGACATTAAGCAAAAATAATTAAACAAAATGCTGTTAAGACTACAACTACAGCACGTCTCTAAAATGGCTTGGCAGAAGAAATGGCTTCATATTTTTTGTGTTTTGTTATCGCCACTGTTTTAAAAATGCAATCTCCATGTTTTTGGATATTAATATCCATTGTTTTATGGATGAAAATATTTATCATTTAGCACAAGAAAATACATGGTCTTGATACAGTTCAACAATTAAGAATACATTGTTAAAATGTATTGTTTGCTGTCTCCCTGCAGTTATTGGTGTGCTTTAAAATTGTGTCAAGAATTTCTGGTAATCTGTAAATTACCAGCATGACATGCTATACTATAATAAATTGTTTTACAGTTACAATACTGATACTGTAACTTAAAATGATAGCATTAAAGTTTCTATTTTACAGTTGAAACACTATTACCGTAAACAAAAATACAGTACTTCTTAAGTGGCAGTGTTTTATTTTATAGTTAAAATACTATTACCGTAAACAAAAATACTATGCTTGAAAATTACTGTGTTTTATTTTACAGCTATAACATTACTGCTGTTACAAAAAATAAAGTAATGAAATATTACTGTTTCATTTTACAGTTAAAACGCTATTACCGTAAACATAAATACAGTACTTGGAAGTTACTGTGTTTCATTTTACAGCTATAATACTACTACTGTAATACCAAATAAAGTAAATGCTATTTACTGTGTTTCATTTTACAGTTAAAACACTATTACCGTAAACACAAATACAGTAATTGGAAGTTACTGTGTTTCATTTTACACTGTTACTGTAAATAAAAACTTGTAAATACTGTGATTACCTTTACAGTATTTAACTGGCAGCAATTGACAAGTTACTTACTGTAATTCATTTTACAGTATTTAACTGGCAACAATTGACAAGTTACTTACTTTAATTCATTTTACAGTAAGTAACTGGCAACAATTGACAAGTTACTTACTGTAATTCATTTTACAGTATTTAACTGGCAACAATTGACAAGTTACTTACTGTAATTCATTTTACAGTAAGTAACTGGCAACAATTGACAAGTTACTTACTGTAATTAATTTTACAGTATTTAACTGGCAACAATTGACAAGTTACTTACTGTAATTCATTTTACAGTATTTAACTGGCAACAATTGACAAGTTACTTACTGTAATTCATTTTACAGTAAGTAACTGGCAACAATTGACAAGTTACTTACTGTAATTAATTTTACAGTATTTAACTGGCAACAATTGACAAGTTACTTACTGTAATTCATTTTACAGTAAGTAACTTGTCAATTGCTGCCAGTTAAATACTGTGAATTTCACGGTACGTTTCTTACAGTGTGGCAACAACATACAGTTTGATAGTCATGATCACTTTGGTGAGCACTATGATTTGTAAGCTGACAATTCCGAAAACATACATCTGTATCGCTCTGGAAAGTGGCAAGAGCAGTAAAATGATGGTCTGAAAATAAACATGAATCCAACAGCAGGCATTTACTGAGATTACCACCCGTCGGGTTATGAAGCGCGTGTACAAATATGGGTGGCAAACAGCAAAATAGCGGTCAAACTGTGCAAATAAAAACGTCATTAAGTTTACCCCAAGAAGAGAAGGTAACATATTATAACTGCCATTTCTCGAAGGAAATCCTTCCTGCACATCAAACAGACCGAGATAATACACTGAACACCCCACCAGTGTGTCACAAATACTGGTGTTCAGCATGAAAATTAACCTGTTCTGGAGGTGGAGGGCTTTGGTGGACAATATGGTGATGACTAAATGTCCTGGTACCAGAACAGCAGTTGTTGCAAAGATAAATTGAAAAATAAAAATGGCATAATCCACAGGACTGTCAAAGTTCACTGAGAGAGGTATACCTACTCCTTCAGCGTCTGTGGTGTTGGAGGGGAGCATTGTTCCAAACATGCTCTTTCATTTTTAACATCCTTTTAAAGCTGATTATTAAGGCGTCGGCCGAACAATTTCCCCACGGGACGTTACCTAATCTCCCTTTTCATACTATTGTTTAGGGCTGAACCTTTAACGTGTTTTTTTTAAACATTTGAGTAGGTTTAAGGGATATTTTGACACAATGCATTGTATATGTAACAGTGTATTGATACAGAGGATGCTCACTCCATAATTATGTAAATATATACAAATGGTACTTTGTAATTATTCGATTCAACCATCCAAATATTTATCAACAGAAATGTTGGTGCCCCCACTGCTGCATGTTATATGTCATGTCAATTTTCTTTAAATAAAAATAGCCAAACACTTAGTGGCCACTTTGTGAGGTACATATGAACAATCTGCAATCAATGTTTACTTTGAGTGGTAATACTTTTGGTTGTGGCCTAAAATGAGGTCGGACTGTTATATGAATTGGTCTAGCTTAAAAACCCATTTGCCACAAGCATCAAGAGGTAAAAACTGCAGCAACCCTTATAGTTTAGCAACTTTAGAAGCCTAACATGCTTGCCATAATATTACCTGTTCATCTAAGAAAGATGCAGACACACAAACATTTATGTACTCTTATTTTTGCTCTAATTTGAGTTTATCAATAAAGGAATCTGTTATCATTAATGCAAATTTCCGGACATCAAACATGTTTCCTCTTTCTCATTTATTTCAGAATGATGATCAGACGATCTCTTCAGAGACATGCAATGCCGTGGCCGGGCTGTCATTGCCATTCCTGTCAATGTTTCCTCTCTGGCCTCGTTTCCACTCAAGCAGCCCCCATGGACACTGTGGTAGAACATGACGCACATTCACAACTTCATGCCCTCCCTAAACATTTGGTGCGTATCCTATCAGTTGTGAATCAACTCACAGTTGCACAGGGAAATAATTTGGTGGTTGTTAAACAAAACCACACACACACTAGAGGTGAACCTGTTTAAATGACCGTATTTTTACATGATTATCTCACACTCAAACACACAGCCAAAGTCAACAACAAGCAGGCCTCACGGCATGTTGAACTTTACTACACAATGCAAAACCAGCAAACCAGGAATGTCACCTTACTGGAAACATTTAAAATAAATTCCTGCTTATTTGCATGAACTTAAACTGTGTTATACAAAATGTATCTTTTGCTGCCTCATATAATGTATTGTCTTTCTGAAGTAAAAATCTATTTTCTGTCCTTACATCCCTGAAGCACTCTGACTACTTGTATTACTCCTGATGCAGAAAAGAGCCATTTGTATTCAAATGTTTTACACTATATTGTTTTTGGTAAACAAGTGTATACAAAGTAAAGATAGAAAACGTGAGTATAGGACAAATGAACTTTTGTGAAAATGATGACTGTGATCAGTATGACTTTTTGCAATTATTTAAAAATAAATGTAAAGATATGTTTGTCCCCGAATAGATTAATCTTTAGGCCAGTGTTTTTAACGCCCAACGAAGCACAGTATTCGTCACTTTGTCTTACTTGGACTACATTTTCCATCTTAAATAGCGTCTCGCTGCAGAGCTCCAGGCCGCCTCTTCCTGTCTTGTGGTCATGTTTTAGGATGGAAAATAATCGCTCTTCCTTATCAATCAATAACATTTACATGCTGCTGTATTATATTTCATTGTATACTATTGTATAGCCCTTATCAGTATTAAAGTAGCTTGTGTAAATTGAGTACATTGTATACTTAAAGGTAGGGTAGGTACGTTTGAGAAACCGGCTGGAGATCGCTAGAATTTGAAAATACACAACCGGAGAAAATCTGCCACTTCCTTATAGAGCCCCTCCTCCAACACACACGAACGCGCACATGACCAATGAGGGCACGAGATAAGTTTGTGCACAGATGGAAGGCTGACAGGCAGGTAGGCCATCCAGTTATTTTAGCCGGGCCGGCTAAAATGATTGGTCGTACTTTTTACAGTACTACGGCTTCCACAGATGACATTTTTTTATGGATTTTTTGTCAAAGCACTTAAGATATTCATTGCTATCGGGATGTTAAGAGCATTCCATGGAATATAACAAAAAGTGTATCTCGAGCCGGTTTCTCAAACTTACCTACCCTACCTTTAAACCTCAAATATAATTGTATTAAGTTATTAAACCAATTTACAGTAGTTTTGTGCCGATAGTTTACAGATTAAAGAATTTTAACATTAAACCCACTGGATTTACAATGTATTAGAGTTGCAACTATGTTCTTTATTATCAGTAAATATCATTGCTACTCTTTCAGTCTTCCTGCTTGTGTTCAGACAAATTTAAATGTCTTGTTTATTTTTGCTGTAGTGTGCTTTAATTTGCCTTTTTTAAAGATAGCATTTTTTTAGAGGATAAATGTTTTCATTTAGGTTTTATTTTTCAGTTATATATTAAAAAAATATGAAAAATATTGTATTTATTTTTGCTTTTTTTTATTAGGTATTTTCAGTTTAAACTCATATCAGAGAAGTGTATTAGGGTCTGTACATGTGTCTTTCACTTAGCATTTAAGCTGTAGAAATGATCTATCATTTAAAATTGTATTATATTTTTAAGTCTTGTTGATCATTTATGTTTGGTTAAAAAGGGGCATACAGCAAATTATGAATTTAAATACATGGCTTAGAAGATATCAATTATTAAAGATTTACAGTTTTGCTACAAGCCTTAATTTGTTGCCGTCCAGATGAATTGTTTGTGTACTTGGAGACACTGATGGGTGACTATGTTTAACCTCTGCTGTAAACCCTCAGGTGTGTGATGGTGAAGCTTATTTATTTTTCAAACACTCGTCATTAGTTGATTTGGTTAATAACATTTTAAATAGTGGCATATTAATCTTTCACTTCCTTATTAAATGGTAAACATAGATTTATGACCACCTCAATTTCAGTAGAGAAAAAGACCGGATGTATCCAAATATTCCCAACACGGGTTAATCCCGTTTATCAACCTGCCGCCGCACACTGTTAATAACTACTCAACGCATGTTTAGTTAATGTATAACAGAGCCAACACTACAACCAGCCAAACCATAATGCACAATATACGTGCCAAACAAGCCACTACAAAGATTATATTGAAAGACGTGTGCTTTCACACCTTTTAAAAAAATAAGCCGATCAGCACCACCCAGCATGGACAGCGACACTGCAGATAGACAAGGTACAAATAAAACTTCACTTCTCACTCCGCGACACTATTCTATTATTTAATAGCAGTAACGTAACGGTTTGTCCGTAAGATCACTGTCAATGAGTCAACAGCTAATTCAGATGAAACATTGAGATTACCTATAAGGCACAATGATAGAAACATTTCAGAAAACTGTTTTGCATTTAAACTTTGCATGGCTGTGTGGTTCAAAATCAATGGGAGGGAGAGAGATGGAGAAAGTGTCACAGTTGATTAGAATAGGGGAATCCTCGGGCTCCTGTTACTTCCATGTATTTTTGGTATCTCCCTTCCCGTGAATGGAGCCGACTCTGAAAAAGGAGTTAAAGACAGTTAGAAGAGCAACAGATGAAAAGATCACGTACGTATACTTGTTGAACATGCTGTATAAGCAGATATGCATTTGCCCCCAGTGTTACCTCCTTTTGCATCTCGGGCACACTCTGCCCCACACGGTCTTCACCATGGCTTCCCTCAGTGTCGGGCTACCCCAGATGTACACGGACGGAGTGCACACTGCGTTGAAACGAGCCATGATGGCGAACAGGTTAGTGGCCTCGTTCCTAAACGTCAGCCCCCCTACTCCTATAAATCTGATGATTATATTAACAAAAGAGGGGCACCACAACACCAAGAAGGTTATGACAACAAAGATGATGATTCGTAATGATTCCTTCTTGCTCTCTTTTTCGGCGCTGGGAGGTTCTCTGGCGAGCTGAACTCTGGCAACCACATACAGTTTGATAGTCATGGCCACTTTGGTGACCAAGATCAGCTGAAAGAGTACTATGCTGATTACGTACATCTGCATTGCTTTGGAAGATGGCAGCAAATTCCTGGCCAACAAGTGAGCCGAATTGTAAACCCAGCAGTAGATGTTAATGCCTATCACAAACTCTCTTGTAGCAAAGCGACCATAGATGAATGGGTGGCACACAGCAAAATAGCGGTCAAACTGTGCGAACAAAAATGTCAGAATATTGACCCCTAGAAGTGAGGGTAAAATATTATAAGTTCCATTCCTAGGCGGGTATCCCTCCTGAACATCAAACAGACCGAGATAATACACGGAGACCCCAACAAGCGTGTCACAAATACTGGTGTTCAGCATGAAAATAAACCTGTTCTGGAGGCGGAGCGCCGAGGTGGCCAATATGGTGATGACTACAGATCCGGCTACCAGAACAGTTACCGTTGCAAATACGATCTGGAAAATAAAGATGACATAGTCCTGAGGACTTTTGAAGTCCACCGATAGAGGAACTCCTCCTGAGATAGAGTCTGTGATGTTGGCGGGGACCATCTTTATGCGCAAATGTTTCTGAAGGCTAGCCTTTTTATGCAAGAGTTACAACGTGAAGTCAGCAGTCAACTGCTGCATGTTATATGTCATGTCAATTTTCTTTAAATAAAAATAGCCAAACACTTAGTGGCCACTTTGTACAATCATGAACAATCTGCAATCAATGTTTACTTTGAGTGGTAATACTTTTGGTTGTGGCCTAAAATGAGGTTGGACTGTTATATGAATTGGTCTAGCTTAAAAACCCATTTGCCAGAAGCATCAAGAGGTAAAAACTGCAGCAACCCTTATAGTTTAGCAACTTTAGAAGCCTAACATGTTTGCCATAATATTACTGAATGACATAGAAGAACTGCATAACAAGCAAGGCAGATTCTTTGTTTAGTTTAATTTCTTTAGATATACAAAATGTAAATGAAAATAATAATAATTTTGGAGCCAGCATGTGTATCTGCTACATCTGTATTGTGTTGC